TGAGGTGGGGAGGGCTAAGAGAAAGTGACTGGCCCCAAGGCCGCCGCCGCCGCCGCCCCCGTGAGCTCCTGGGGGGGCCTCCCTGGTTCCAGCCCAGTGGCAACTGCTCAGGGGACCCAGGAAAAGCTGCTTGCAGCGACACCCGTTTGTGGTGCTGCCCTTTGGGACCGGCTGGGTCCTGGCGAAGGTCTGGAGAGATCCGGGAGACTCAGACACCTGCTCAGTACCCTGTCCGGATTTTGGATCAGGGACGTGAGCATGGTGGATTCAGAAATGGCTTGGTGGGAGGGGGTCACGTCGTCTGGCCAGGTTGCAAAAGCCTAGAAAAGTGAAGCTGCCACGGGAAGCAGGCCAACCGAATACGACCCGTATCCGCAGCTGCTGACCTCCCCGGGGCTCCAGTTCTCCCTCCCGGATCTGCCTGTTTCACGTCTCCCCTGGGGCTGCCGCCTCCCCTTCTAAAGGATCCCTTGGCCTGCCCCTTGTGAGCTGACCCTGGGGACGATGGCGATTTGGGGCGGATATCCCCAGCCAGCCCTTTGTTAAGTTGCTGCTTCTAGTGTCCCCTCATCTTTCAGGGACCTCAAGCTTTAGCGGGAAGGAATGCAGCACCTCGAATAAGACAAATGAGAGAAGCAGGACTTGTTCCACGGGGGAGCGGGCCTTGCAGGAGCCCCCCCCCCCTTCACCAGTGCAGCAGGGTGGGGTACGGATGACAGCCTCAGCTACCTTCTGAGAATCTCCAGACCTTGCAGCTACTGGAGCACCCTTGGCCTCCCTGCTCAAGAGGCGGAGAATATTTTAAGAATAAGCAGAATTTATGGTATTGATGAAAACAATACCCAAAGACAACTCCCGGCTTTCTTTATGGATGCCATTGTCCTCTGGGCCCCCTTTCCATGCCCCCAGACTCTCCGGCTGTGTAGTGTCCCCTGTGGGGATCAGGGGCTGGCCTGGGGTCCCTGGCACGGGGCTGTGGCAGCTTCTTACCTTGCACCTTTCCTGCCCTGCAGGAGGCCTAAAGCCAACCTTCCCCTGAGTGATGGCATAGACCCACCGGGCAAGGACCCAGCCCACCTGCTCCTCCGCTCTGGGCAACCGCGGTGTCTCTGGTGGCAAGAGGAGGAGGTGGCCAGGCTAAGCCAGCACCAACCCCTTCAGAGGGCAGCCTGCCTGGACTGAAATGGACCCCCGGAATGAGAAAGGCAAGGATGAGCTGGGGAACGGGAAGATCACTGCCCAGCTACTGAAAAGCAGGACAGGGGAGTTTGACCTGGAGTCCATCTTGCTGCTAAAGCTGAGGGGCCTGGGCATCCTGGAGCTCGGCTGCCTTGGGGAGTGTGCCAGCCTGGAGTGGCTGGACCTGTCGGGCAACGCCCTCACCCACCTGGGCCCCCTGGCTACACTCAGGAACTTGGCTGTCCTCAACATCTCCTCCAACCGCATCTCCAGCCTGGAGCCCCTTGGGGGCTGCGAGAGCCTGCAGAGCCTCAACGCGGCTGGCAACTCATTGCGCAGCCTGCAGCAGCTGCAGTGCCTGGTGGGGCTGAGGCACCTGGAAAACCTGCGCTTCCACAACGCCGTGGGCCGCCTCAGCAACCCCTTCTGCACCTCGGTGGGCTACCCGGCGGCCATGGCGGAGATGTTTCCCCGAGTCAAAGTGATAGATGGCGAGCGGGTCTCTGGGCGCGGCAGCGAGCTCTACCAGCTTTGCAAGGATCTTGACAGCTCCCTGCAGCGCTTCCACGGCCCCAGTGGCGGAAGCCTCCAGGAGTTGGCCGGCCGGGCCCAGCCATGGGTAGCGGAAGGCTACTGGGATGCCCAGCCGGCCAGGAGGAGCTCCATCGTGGAGGAAGCCTACAAGCAGTTCAGCGAGGCTCTCCTGGAGTGCCGGGAGCTGAGCAAGCGGGCTGACCACACCATCTGCCAGGCCGAGCGGGCACTCAGTGGGCGCCCTGATGGCAACTCTTACCTCTTTTGAGCCTCCCACCTGCTGACCTCCAGACGCGTTGTGACTGCCGCTGGGGAGGGGACGCTGGGAACTGTTCTCCCAGCACATCCGGAGGAGCACTCACCCTGCCCCTAGCCCTCACCCCTCTGCCCTGCAGCTCTTTTTTACTGATCCCCCAGGAAGGGGGAATGGCACATTCCACCACCAATGCGTGGGTCTGTGGCTCATCTGTTCCCTTCCAGCATCACAAGCTCTGCCGAGGCTGTGTCTCTGCTCTGCCCCTGGGCTTTCTGCCTGCTAGGGGGTGCAGAGCCGCCTGTGTTGCATGGCACCTGCGAGGGGGTTTGTGCCACTCTCAGGCCTGAAGAGGTCACTTCCCAGGCGGGTCACAGTCCTTTGATCTTGGGTGTGGGAGTGGGGGTGGGGGGCGCACCCGCAGGCATGCTCTGAAAAGCTACCCTAGTGCTCTGTAGTAAAGTAACTACGATTCTGTCACAGCCTAACACCAGGTCTCCCCACTGAGCAAGCCCCCTTTGTGAATCTCTGGCCAGCACAGCTGCTTCTGCGACTTGCGGGGGGTGGGGGTCAAGCCAGGATAGTTCATGCAGGCCCCTTGCCCCCAGCCCTGAACATGCATTTATCAGGGGCTCCCTAGGCTAGAAATTTTACAGTGTGAAGGAATGAGAACACATTTAATATCTTGGCATGCCTTTGGTTAATTTTGCAATCATCTTTTGGTGTACATAAAATAAAAGCCTACGTGTAAACCTGCAAGCTGAAATCTTTGGACTGTTAAACCAGTCAACAGTCAACCCCAGAATTTGGGGTCCTAAAGGAATTCGCACAGCCCCACCTTCCCCCAAGATGTTCCCACAGCCTCCATGTTTCATCCCTGTTCAATTGCATGGTTGGCACCGTTCCGATGTCCCACCCAGTCCCAGCGCTGCCCTGCCCGTTCGCCAACACGACAGACTGGCAGAGGGGCCTTCTCAAGCCACCTGCAGAGGACTCAGCCTTGTTTGTTCCTTGTTCAGGCGAGTTGGGAAGAGAGCGCAGCAGAGCTGCCCACGAAGGGCCCCGAGGACACCCACAGAGCAATCGGGGGGGCCCTCTCCACTGGCTGTTCCCACCAGAAACTACAGGCATCATGAAGACTCTGCTTGCAATTTTATTGTGGGAATCAAGAGAGGCAGAAGAGGCGCCGGGCTGATTCCCCAGGAAGCCGGCCTTCCATCCCAGGGTGCCGAGGCGCAATTCCCCAGGATTCTGCCAGTTAGCCAAGTCTGTGCAGTTCTGCATGAGTGAGGAGAAAGAGAGGAAAGGGGAGACCCAGGAGAGCCGTCAACTTCTCTCTGGACAGTAAATGGGGTCCCGTCCAGGCCACAAACGCCCAGGTGTTATGGGAGGGAAACAGAGTGGCTGGAACCCAGAATACTTTATTCCTGCCAGGTGCAACGCCTTCCTTTGGTGCCTGCCCTCAATTGGGCAGTTTTCTGCTGAGTTCTTCTGGGTGCCCGTCTCAAGCAGGGAGTGCCCAGAAACAGCAACTGCACCAGCAGCTTAGCCAAAGCTTCCCAGAGCCCTGCCTGGCATCCCAAAGGCGGGTGGGAGGAGCTGCTGCTCCCATCTCCCTCTGCCCTTCTGGCTCCCGCCTGGCACCCAGCTGAGAAAGCCCCCCCCCCCGCCAGTTCTGACAGGAGCTCAGTTGGGGATAAAGCACCTTTAACCCAGCCTCTGCCTACGCCCAGCTTTGAGGATCACCCGAAACACCCAACGTCTCGGCGCTCAGGGCAGGGTCTCAGCCGCATCCCTGCACCGCAAAAGTCCTCTCCGCCTCTCTCAGGCCAGGGTCTGGCTGCCCACGCGTGAAGACCGGGCACCTACCTTGCCAGCTCTGTCGGGAAGGGTCAGGAGGGAAGCCCAACAGAAAAGGCAAACTTCCCGGGCAGATACTGATCCTCGTTGGCTGCCTTGATGGCCTCGCAGTCCTGCTCTTGCCTTGCCCTCACCTCCTGCGGGCAGAGAGAAGGGGAGAGGATGGTGGCTCTGCGGAGGAGGGAAGGCCCAGCAGTGCTGGGAGAGCGCCCCACTTTTGCCACCAAGCCTTGGGGGCTGCTCCGGGAATGGCCACCACCTCTCCAAACGGAGAGCCTCCCCAGCATTAAGACCTGCCATCAAAAACCCTTGCAAAAGGCTTGGTCAAGTCATGATTTTCTCACGCTTGCAGAGACCCCAAAATAATTGTGCGGCAGCCAAAGACAGCATTGCTTCTGTGGGTGGTCCGAGGCATCACCTCAGGAAAGACCCCCGTCCCGAGTGCATGTGGGAGGAGCAAACCAGGCTCGGTCAGTGCAATGCGTATCAACGAGTTCATTCTTTCTACCTGGTTAATCGGAGCACAATTCAGCCAATCAAAAGTTTTAGGAAGCAGCAGAGCAGCCAACGGATTGACGGAAGGCCTGCTGAGCCCTCCCAGGTCACCGTCCTCCTGCCCACCTGGGCAGCTTTGGGGATAGCCAGAAGACAGGGCCAGTGTGCCAGCTCTGCAGCTGAAGGAAGAGATGCCAAGCCTGCCCAGCACGGGTCGAGCCATCTCCAGGAACGGTTAGCAGAGAACCGAAGAAGCCAGCTGGGCTGACAACCGGAAGCGGGAAGGGGCCTGGCGGCTGCTCGGGTGAAGGCCAGCAGAATCCCACTGCTGGCTTTCAGTGCAGCCTTGTTGTCCGTGCCTCTGGAGTCTTTGCTGCTTTTACTGTTATTGCAAGCCACCAGGAATCTTTGGATTCTGGCAGTGTACAATGAAGGACACAAAGAGATAAGTGGAATCTCTTCCCATTGGGAGTATGTGGCTCTCCGTAGCCGGCGTCAGCCACGGAGTGGACTTGGTGCTGCCTGCCTGCCTGCCTGCCTGCCTGCCTGCCTGCGGGGAAGCTGCCTCGCCCTCGTCGGACGGGAAGGTGGGGCAGGCCGAACGCCTACCCTCGGGCTGTGTTTCTCTTAGGAGGGGCGATTGAGGGTGCAACTCGCAACTACCCTCTTGCAAGTGGGGCAGAGGTAGCTCCTCTCTGGAGAAGCTGAACAGATCAGAAAGCTGTGAGCTTCTGCTTTGTAACGTCTCAGCCAAGGTGGTCTTGAGAGCCACCTGGATTCCGGCCGGACTTCAGTTCCCGTCATCCCACTGCCGGCATTGGCTAGGACTCAGAGGAGTTGAAGACCAACACTTCTGGAGGGCATCTGGCCCTCTGATGACCCCTAGCCAATGCAGCCAGTGGAATCAGGGTACCTCTGCGGCTTCTCAACAGATACTGGCATTTGTCAGTGGAGGAGGAAGAGGCTGCCAACCCACCTGGAAAACAGGATTCTGCTCAGACAGGCACCGCAGCGACTGGGCCAAAAGGCTTCCAGGATTGCTGGCATCAAACTTGAAGCAAGCAAGACACTTCTGCCTCCTCTGTGCAGGGGGGTGG